GATTCATGACGGAGAGAGGTTGGGGGAGGAAGGGGGAAAATGAGAAGCTGATACCAAGGACTCAAGTAGAAAGCAAATGTTTTGAGAATGATGAAGGCAACAAATGTACAAATGTGCTTGACACAATGGATGTATGTGTAGATTGTGATAAGAGTTTAGTACGAGTCCCCAATAAAATGACTTAAAAGAAAAATATATATACACACTAAGTGTATTAACTCCTTAAGTAGTTCCTAAGGTTCAGGGTGAGCCTTATCCTAAAGGGTTTCAAAAAATTCATGGAAAAATTCCATTATCTTTCAGTTCCATTTTTCCATAAACTTTTTGAAGCTCCTACAAATTGCCTCATGCTGCATTAGTTTGCACACTTCACATTCCCTAAATCAGTAATTTCTGTAAAACTGGTTTTCTTTTCCTTAGAGTACTATTTATCATCAAGTTCACAAAATTTTGTTTGGAAATGAAAATATTTAAAATGAAAATATTTACTTGCATCAACCATTGATTTGTATTCCAAGAGTTGTTGTTTTGTCTGTTCTCTTAGTCTGAGGGGAAACAAAACAAGAGAGCCAATTTATTGACTGAGTTCCAATTCACCAGCAGTAAGGAGTCCCTGGTGTACCTGCTTAAGTACTCAGAGTGCAACCTACAGGTGGGAGGTTCGAGTCCACCCAGAGACACCTCAGACGAAAAACCTGCCCCTAAAAACCCTTTGGAGCACAGTTGTACTGACACTCACTGGGTGGCCATGAAACAGAATTCACTGCCAACAATGGTACTGGTCTCACGTGACAGACCAACTCATCTGTTTTCAAAAGGTGATAGAACAAAATGGGTCAACTTTAAAATCTCAGAATATGCTCCCGGTACAATAAGCCTCATTGCACCTAAAATTGAGCACCAAGAAACTGAAGACTTCAATGGAAGACACAAAATGAAATACAATGGGAAAACAGCATCTGTTCTTAATTTTTAAATTTGATTTTGAATTTTTGCTTAGTAGGCCAGGCTGAAATGGGCTTAACAAAAAAGAACTGCTAACAAAAAAGAAAGACCACAATGGTTAAGCCAGTAAACTCTGGAATGATTAACAAACACAGGTTGTAATCTTTTGAAATCCAGAGAAATAATAAAGATGCTGATCCTTGGACAGGTAAGTAATTCATACTGTTTCTATTCACATAGTCCTATGGTTCTACCTAATTCAAGAGTAATTCTCATTCACTGTCAGTGAGTCTATTCCAATTCATAGAACTCCCTGGGGGGTTTCTGAAGCTGTAAATCTTTATGGGAGCAGATAGCCTCCTCTTTCTCCCATGGAGTAGCTGGTGGATTCAAACCGTTGACCCAGCAGTTAGCAACACAAAAAGTAACCCACTATGCCACCAGGGCTCCTAACATAGAAATAAAACAGTGAATTTTAAAAAAGTAATTATTAGTTGTATTTACAGAATGCTTCACATTTGCATGGTAGTTTTCTAATTCTGAATTGTCTTATAATATTACCAAGAACAAAACAAAACAGAAAACCAACCAACTCACTGTGGCCCTACAGGACAGGGTAGAACTGCCCCTGTGGGTTTCTTTTCCAGAGCAGACAGCCTCTTCTTTCTCCTGAGAAACCAGTGGGCTCAAACTGCTGACCTTGTGGTAACCCACTATGCCACTAGGGTTCCTCCTTGTGACTTAAGGTGCCATGGTGGCAGTAGTATTTAAGCATTGGGCTGTGCTCTGCAAGGTCAGCAGTTTGATACCACCAGCTGTTTCCTCGGGAGAACAACTGAGGGCTTTTTACTCTGGTAACAGTTACAGTCTCAGAAACTCACAAGGACAGTTCTACTGTCCCTAAAGGGTGGCTAGGAGTCTGCAGTGACTCGATGGCAGTGACTTTAAGTAGCTAAGAAACTTAAGTAGCAAGAACTTAAACTGTGGCCTCCTCTGCTCTGAGATCCAAAGAATTAGATGTCTGAGTTTTAGGATCAAGGCCACAATGTTTGGATCCTAATAAAATGGGAGAAAAATATGGAACTGGCCCAGGTTCACTGAACGAACCAATTGAAACTAAGGGTTCAAACCTTGAACTGAATATTTATTCCGTGAGGTCTCCTTTTGGTTAAATTAGAAGACTATCATCCAGGATTACTGTTCGCCCACCTGTGAGGCCAAATGGCCAACCATTAAAGCAGAGGTGAGAAGGAAAGTGGGGAAACGTGATGGCTGGAAATGGAACAACCAGAAGAAAAATTAAGAGAAGGCTGAAGTACTTGTGAGGAAGGTAACCAATGTCACTGAACAAGTTCCTACTATGAAAAATCGAAGAACTGGGGTCTAATTTAGCTGTGCATTCACGGAAAACCCAATAAAATATGTGAAAAAGGAACCAGCAAGCAAGCGTTTTGCTCAAAGACGCTCACAGTTATAAGAGAATGGGCGGGATACTCCCGCCGCCAGCTAGCTCCTCAGGGCCTGGATGCCCCGCGCAACGTCTGGCCGGGAACCAGGGCCCCGGGACGTGAGCAAAGGGTCTTAGGGCTGTGGAGGGCTCCCTAAGGGCCCTAGGGAATGTGCAAAACGAAACTGTCGTCGAATCGACCCTCACTGCCACCTGGGCCACCCTACAGGGCAGAGCAGACCGCTCCTGGGCGTTTCGGACGCTGCCAATCTTTGCGGGAGCGGAGAGCTTCATCGCTCTCCCCCCGAGGGGCTGGTGGGTTCGAACTGCGGCCTGCGCAGAGCTGTTGGCCACGACGCCCACTGGGCCCCGGGCCAGAGGGAAAACCTGAGCAGCAAGGTCGTGTGGTCCTCCTCGCTCGCCTCCGCGGCGCCGGCCGCCTGCAGCTGCCCGCCTTCCCCTCCGATGTCCTCGCGCGTGGAGGCGGCTTCCTCCTCCGGCGGCTTCTCCATAGCGGGCTGGCGAGGCCAGCCGCCGCGCAGGGCAGGCAGAGGGACACTGAAGCGGAACCGCGGGGGGCGGGGGGGGCGTGCCTCGGAAAGAGTCGCTTTTCCCGCCAATAATTCAGCTTAAGGGCGGGAGAGCAAACGCGTCGGCCCCGGCCCCGCCCCCTGCCGGCGTTCTCGGCCCCGCCCCTTGACCCGGTTGCCATGGTTACAGCAGCGTGCTTTTCTATTTTTTTTTCCCCTCCCCGTTGTTTCTTAGGGCTCTAAGAAATCATTATGGCGTCACTGGTTAAAAAGCTCGATTTTTAAGCATCAGCTAGACGGCGGGCTGAGGTCTGGGCTGCAGCCCTTTGGATCATTCCCGGCTCCTCGGTGCGCCTGCCTGGAGCTGGGAAGCCCGTACCGACGTGCTTACTTCCGGGACAGCCCTCCGTCTCTTTACGTCAGCACGCACTTCCCTGCGGCCTTGGGAAGCGGGGTGCGCGCCGGCTGCGTCATGCATAGGACTTCTGATGTGAGCTCAGAAGTCTGGCCAACTACCCACAATCCCCGAGAACAAAGTAGAACAGACACCGGAGCGCGAACTTCAAGCTGCGCGCACAACCCCGAACTTAAGAACCCCCTGCGTGGACACTACCCCACAAGCCTGTTGGACTTGGGTGCCCCCCCAGCGCCTGCTTGTCTAGCAGGCTACCGTTGAGCTGGAAGTGAAGGGAGCACGGAGAATATAAATATATTAACACCAGATTGGTCATTTTTCCTTATGTTGGTGGTGTTTAAGCAAGAGAGCGGAGTTTCCCGAGTTACGCTTGACCACACAATGCTGGTTTCTTCCTCTATCCCAGTAGGGATGAGATGGAAGTTAGCAAGGGTAAAAGGAAACACGTATAAGTTTGGGCAATTCTAAACGCAAAGGAAGTAAATGCTAAGATGTCACTTTGAGGATTAAATTGGGCGGGAAACATTTTTAATCACTTCTGATGCATGCAAAAGTTGGACAATTAATGCCTTTGCTTTCTGGAAGAAAAAAAAAAAGCCCTTGAATGAGATGGGTTGATAGAGGCTGCAACAATGACTCAATCATGATTGCATGAACAGGCTTAAGCAGTTTTGTTCTGTTGTACATAAGGTTGCTCTGGAATTAGCTCAATACCCCTAATGATACTATGTAATATAATGTAATACACGTAGACATGCATGCTTTAGAAAGTCAGTTTACAATTAATTCACAGGCTATCCCCACTGTTGACATCCTTCAGGTGAAGTAAATTACATAGTTTTATGTCTTGAGCACGTTTTATTTAATTTAGAAAAAAAAATTAGATCCCCAATATGAAAAGGTTGGTATTATGTACAGCTGACAATTCAAAGGATAGTGGTACACGTAGACTTAGAACTATGGTAACCATCACCCAAAGGAAAAGGAAAACAAGAGAACTAGTGGGAGGTAGTAGGACTTTTACTTTGGTTTACACGCCATATGGAAATTCAGATTATAACTAAATAAAAGTCTTTACCACCTCAGGAATTCACATTAGTAAAGTAAAAAGTCAGGTACATAAAACAAGAAACACCAAGTATTTAAAAACCATTAGGCAACGATGATATACATTAGTTAGGTTACATGGTAAAGTGAAACCAGTTGTTTCTTTTATACTCAGTCAACCATTCCTTTAAGACAACTTTTAGGAAGCAACAAATGAGGAAGCAATCACATCCAAATGAGTTAAGTTATAAAAAGTAAAAAGAGCCATAGACTTTATTAAATGTAAGTGTATCATATAATATGTACAGACAGCACATAGTGCCAACTTTATTTATAGATATTAAAATATTCCAACTCAAGTTCACAAGTTACACCTTGGCCAAAGCCTTGGCTAGATCTTGAACTATCGCGGAGTTCAGCTGTGCTAGAGTGCTGATCTTTGCATGTTTAGTTGTCGCATACTTGTTCTTGATAGTCTGGAAGAGAAAAGCAGTGTTGATTAAAGAAAATACTACAAACATCCCAAGACAAAGGTATAGATATTCAAACGCTTAAAAGAAGTTAATCAACTCAAGGCACGTAGTAGTATTTGCTCCTCCTCTGGCCCAGCATCTTAGAATGCTATTGACTGACTTACCATGTGCTTTGTAAGCCCCTGATTCACCATGACTAAATTCTTAGCCAGGTGCTGCATAACAGGATAAAGAGATTCTTCGGTGTATGACAGGTAATGCTGCAGAGTTGGAGTCTAAGACAACAAATCTTTGTGTTAAAAATGCTCATCTACAATGGATTTTATAAAATACTTTCTAGCTGTTAAGAGGGAGGCATGGATGTTCTAGGACTCATCACAAGCAAAATTTAATTCCTTTCCTAGAAATCCTTGTTTCATGCTTCCGTATAATAAGGTTTGAGTAAACCTTATTAGTGATGTACTCAAACCCAATTTCACTATGGTAACTGAGGTCTTGCCCATGCTAAAGCTCACATTCCTTGATAAATGTTCTCATTTTTAAGTTATATTCCTAGTCTAGGATAGCACCTAGTGCCTCTCACATAGTAGAAAGGTTTGTTAGTGAATATGAACACACATTTATTAAGTTCTTTTATCTGGTTTGAATTTCTTCATCTGTAATATGGAAATTACAAGACATTCTGCCTTCCCCAAAGGGATATTAATATAGAAAGGAAATTTGGCAACGAAATAAAAGCATTATCATTTTCAAACATTTCTTTGGTGTGTGTGTGTATATATCTTTTATTTATACTACCTATTTTTCGAAAAGTTCCTCTATTTAGGAGCCATTTGAGCTGTCTTTTAATGACTAAAGTTCTATATTTAGGCAAATACCACTATGTATCCTTTAAACTTGGGTAATCTAGGCTCCCTACCTGTGGGATTGTAACTTACCCATTCACCATTATCAAGAATTTTCAGTGCTAAGCAAAAAGCTCCTGCTGCAACCTGAGAAGGAGGAAAGTGCACCATGTCGTAGTCCAGCATAGTTAGTTCCATCAGGTATTTGGCCAAAGTATGTTGCTCAACATCAACCTGTAACACAATCCATAGGTTGCTGCTGTCAGAATTGTCTCTCAGTAAGTCCATACAAATAAGTACAAAAGATATGTTGTCTATAAACTCTCAAGTACATTGCTCCTAAAGGCCTTAATGTCATCATTAATACGCAGCCTGGTTGGTCATAAAGAATACTGATATCCCTTGCCAGCATTGTTTAGTTGCTGCTCCTAACCCCCATGACCCCCCTTACACGTGTGCAGTATGTAGTCAGTTATGAGTTAGACCAGGTCAGCAGCAGTACTCTCCAAATGTGCCATACCAGAGATTTTGCAAGTGATTGGTTGGTTTACCTCTCCAACCTTGGATGCTCTCCGGAGGAAGTGCAAGGGCAGAGGGCGCCCCAGGCCAAAGTTTAAAGCCCTTAAAATCTTCATTTCCATCTGTCTGATCTGGTGCTTAGTGTAAGTGTGATCAGTCACAAAGGCAAAGTCACCGATTTCTGGCGGGTACATTTCTTCATATTTGCTTGCAATAAACATGGCAGTGACACCAACCAGCTGCAGCATTTTCTTGGGCACACAGTTATTCTGAAACAGGAATTTCAATTGGATGATTAAGTAAGATGTGTTTAAAAAACAGACACTGAAATACCCCCATAAACAAAATCTCAGTTAATGCCACCCTCTCCTTCCCTCAAAACACATTCAGATTTACTATGACACCAATGAGTCCGCATCAAGTCAATGGCAGGGAGTGTTGAGTTTGTTCCCACCAATAAACAGCAGGAAAAAATCAGGCCAGATGAAGTTAAGGCATAAATTTGCTTTGTTAAAGCACTCAGACTTCAAACTTCTAGAAATGCCATTCTAGAGAGTTCTAGCACTGAAAAACTGTTTATAACTAAATTAGGGCTATAGCTGAATTAATGAATCATGCTTACCTGCATGAACCGATCAATGATGGAAACAGTCATGTACATGGTCTCTTGCAGCAACCTGAATTTCATTTGAACTTGCACTAGCCAGTCAATAAGGATGGCTCTCATATTTCCAGTGACTTCCCGACCCACTAGGTATTTCGGTTTGACTGCTTGCTCTTCCTACAAGAGAAATGGTTATCATGAGGAGCCGGTTTCATGGGAAATGGCTCTCCAGAGATGTCAGTTAGCAAAGAATAGCTCTGGAACATTTAGAATGTATAAGCTAGTTTTTAATGCAATGTTTTAGAAACAACTCCATCACTGAGGGAAAAAGCAAACATTAGACAGGGCTGTGCAAAAGTTTTTTCATATAGTCACATCTCTTCACATTGTTTCTACTTCCTCCCAAATAAAGACAACATCCTACCATCTCAGAGTTTTCAACAATACATCCAAAATCTAAGCTTTATGAATTAAGAGAAAATTCCAGCAAAAGAACAGTCTTGGTATTATTTGAAGGAGAGTTTTGAAATTGTAACCTATTTGGAAATATTGCCCATGTCCTGCTTGAATTACTGTAAACCATTAATGGTAAATATCTTCAATTAAGTTTGATGTAGTTGGGGGTGGGGAGAGACTAGTGACAGTACTGACCTCAAGTTGTCTCAGATAACCATAAATATCTTTCACATATTCGCTACAAAGGTTTGGATCAGCTCCATCTTCTGCATCCACATCACTCACTGCAAGAATTACGTCAGAGAAAGCCTGACACAGATATTCTTCTGCAGGGGCACATCCAGATGTTTCCATTGGGCTTAGAGAGGGAGTATCCACCTTGAAACAACAGAGATCTCTTGAAGCAATAGCAATGAGGAGCACATACTATGGTTTAAGAATGAAGGTTAGATTGGTACTGATTCCACAAATCAGCTGTTTAACCGTCTTCAAAGAAAATGCTCTACATCTTACTTGGTTGCATGGTGACTGGGGTGTTGAAAGCTCATGAGGGGCTAGCATCTAAATAAAATGCTTCCATTGGCCTCTCCCCAGCACAGGAAAGAAAACTGAAGAATCAATTAGTCTTGTGGACAAATGGACTAACAGTGTCCACAGCCCTGCTGCTACCAACTGCTCTGAAAAGGATATTAGTAGAGCTTGGGGGTAGGGGTGGAGGGGAGAGGACTAGTTAGAATGGGAGAAAAATGTAAACAGAACTCAAACCAAAAAGACCAAGATCATTCATTGGTTGATAGAGATTAGTAGAAGCCCTAAGACTATACCACTTAGTTAGATCTGGACCTAAACTCACCCTAATGGCTTAATTTCTAGCCAAACAACAGATAGGACTATCTGGTTGACAATAACCTTAGGAAAGTATGCACACCTTATAATAATCAATCATTTGTGATCAAAGGGGCAGCATTTAGGCAAAATTCAGTCATAAGAGTCAAGAAAGGAAGACTGGAAAGACAGGGAAGTAATAAGAGCTGTTACAAGGTGGGAATTGAAATTAAAGACATGAGACAAAATTGTGTATAAATTGTTGAGTGGAAAACTGATCTGCTCTGTATGCCTTTAACCAATTCACGAAAAAAGTTAAAAAGGGGGTAAATATGTGGCCATCTAGCTCAGAAGCAACAAAGCCCACATGGAAGCACACCAGCCTGTGCGATCACGAGGTGTAAAAGGGATCAGGCATCAGGCATCATCAGAACAAAAAATCTTACCATACTGAATGAGGGGGGAGTGCGGAGTGGAGACCCAAAGCCCATCTGTAGGCCAGTGGAGATCCCCTTGCAGAGGGGTCTTGGGGAGGAGACGAGCCAGTCAGGGTGCGATGTAGCAAGGATGAAAAATACAACTTTCCTCTAGTTCCTAAATGCTTCCTCCCTCCCCACTATCATGATCCGAATTCTACCTTGCAAGTCTGGCTAGACCAGAGGATGTACACTGGTACAGATAGGAACTGGAAACAAAGGGAATCCAGGGTGAACGATCCCTTCAGGACCAGTGGTAAGAGTGGCGATACTGGGAGCGTACAGAGGGTGGGTTGGAAAGGGGAAACCAATTACAAGGATGTACATGTGACCTCCTCCCTGGGGGACGGACAACAGAAAAGTGGGTGAAGGGAGACGTCGGGCAGGGCAAGATATGTCAAAATAATTTATAAATTATCAAGGATTCATGAGGGAGGGGACAGCGGGGAGGGAGGGGGGAAAATGAGGACCTTATGCCAGGGGCTTAAGTGGAGAGGAAATGTTTTGAGAATGATGAGGGCAATGAATGTACAAATGTGCTTTACACAATTGATGTATGTATGGAGTGTAATAAGAGTTGTATGAGCCCCTAATAAAACGATTAAAAAAAAAAAGGGAGAAAAAAATCTGCTGAATATACCTTATTTTCCTAAAGGAAAATATTTTTCTTCTCAGACTTATTAAATTCCTCTTTAAGGTGTAGTTAATATATTAAAAGTAACTTAGACTGAGCTTGTTTGTTGAAGTTGGCAAAACGTGTCAACAGGTAAAACAGAAGAAAATAAATCCACACTCTAGACTTTGCTACAGAAAAATGCAAATAAATCACACCCACCCCCACACAAAAAACTCACTGACACCAAGTTGATTCTACTCATTGTTACCCTAAGAACAGAGTAGAATAACTCCTTTGGGTTTTCTGAGACGAGTGGCCGGTAGGTTTGAACTGCTGACCGTGAGGTTGAATAAGTGCCCAACGTTTAACCAACTAAATCACCAGGACTCCTTCTGCTACAGATGTAACTGATAGGTAATGAATCTGTTTACCAGCACACCATCTGAATAATTCACACCAAGGGCAAGTCAGTCTTCAGAAGGTACACATCTTTCTTTCAAAACATAGACTGATTCTCATTACTCAAAATCCAAGTTCTGTCCCAGCTAATAAGAGTTAACTGCCCTGTAAAGAGGCATTTCCTTTCTCACAATGTTCAAACAATTACTGTGCACCTTCAAGTCAAGTTTAATGTTGGGCACTGGCTACAGTCTTCAAGGAAATCTAAAGTTAGAAAAGACAAGTAAATAATGAGATTATTTATAGGAACAAATGTAAGATGGTAGAAGTTTACGGAAGAAAACTAAGTTTGGGTTTTTAAAAAAATTTTTTTAATCACTTTATTGTGGGCTCATACAACTCTGATCACAATCCATATGAACGCCTAAGTTTTAAGAGCTGGTGCTTTAGCTGTTTTGAAGAAAGATCATTAGCTACATGTTTTATGTGTTATGTGTCCAGAGGGCCAATACTAAAGCAGTAACCTCAAATCTCTTACCCTTAAGACACAAGAAGCTAGGGTGAATGACTTTTATAGATCAGTTTCCCAATGAGCTTTAATTAAAATTTAAAAATTGAAAGCCTCGCCTTTAAACGAAGATGGCGCGGAAGGCGAAGAAGGAAGCTACTGCCCCTTCCAAAACGGAAGCCAAAGCAAAGGCTTTAAAGGCCAAGAAGGCCGCGCTGAAAGGCGTCCACAGCCACACGAAAAAGAAGATCCGCAAGTCACCCACCTTCCGGCGGCCCAAGACCCTGAGACTGAGAAGGCAGCCAAATACCCCCGGAAGAGCGCCCCCAGGAGAAA